AGAAACAGGCGCAGGAAGAGGCGTAAGTGTCGTGCTGTCACGAAAGAAGCAGTGAGAGGCTCCAGAGTCCAGCGTGAACGACAGCGAACCGTCCTCTGAGGTAGCCGCTGGACTAGAGTCTACACAAGAACCTACACTAGCAACAGGCAACTGAGCAAGGCTAGCACCTAAGCTAACAACACCAGAGTAAGCAGAGTCAGAAACACTAGAGTCAACAACAGCATACATAGCATGGGGAGTACCAATCAGATCAACTAACTGCTCAGCAGACATGCCCCACAGAGCGGAGCCGTAGCGCTGAACAAGAGGCAGCCAGTCAGGGGCAGGAGCACCAACCCCGTAGACCAAACGAACCGTGTCAGTGAGCTGAGCAAAGCACTGACCAGGGGGGTGAAACCGGCCACAAGGGTGGCCACGACGAGTGCCTGTCAGAACCTGGTAGGTGCAGGGAGTGTAAGCAGCACCACGCTGGGTCTGACGCAGCCCCGACCCTGGAGCCAGCTGCTGCCGCTGCTGCTGCTGAGGCTGCTGGGAGGAGAGGGGCTGCTGGTGCTGCAGAAGCTGCTGCTGACGCTGAGCCTGGTACCACGCCGCTGCTCCACCAACCGGGGCAGGAAGTACAGGAGGCGACTGACGAACTCGGGCGTCGCCACCACTAGCAGGCGCAGTGGAGTCACCAGTCACTGCACGAGGCGCCTCTCCAGGCCCTGAACCTCCACCGCCGCCAGGCGCAACGCCACCTCCACTACCTCCGCCTCCACCTCCACTACCACCACCAGAACCGCCTTTCTTGCCACTCCTACCGCGGGACCGCGACGCAGTCGTAACAGCAGCTGCAGTCGCGTCAGTAGCGGCAGTGGCAAGTGAGGCAGTAAAGGTGGGTAACTGCGGGACTGTGCACCCGTGGAAGAGTGGGGGGGCACAGCACCAGAGGCAGCGGCTACCGAGCGAAGGTTGCTCTCGACGTCCTTGAGTGTAGACTCAAGGACATCGACGGTGAGCTCACTAGGGTGCTTCAGCAGAAGCGCGTCGCGAACGGAGGCAAGGCGGTCAGGGAGGCTAGTGGCGATGAAATAGATAGTAATCGCCATAGGGGGAGGAAGCAGTGCAAGCTGTGCCTCAGTGCAAGCAGCGCGGTAACTAGCGTCGAGCGAGCGGAGGTGAGCGATCAAGTCAGCAGAGCGCTCAAACGAGGCGAGATCAGGAAACAGGAACGGGAGGAAAAGACGGCCAAGAGAGACAGTAGCGGGAGTAGAGTAGCGGGCCTTAATCGCAGTGAGGTACGCAGCAGCGGTGCGAACCTGAGTGAAGTGGACCTCCTCTGACTCAGGGAGGAGGCTGCTGAGTGCGATGCAGGCCGCAGCGTCACGCGACGTCCAAGCCGTCCTGTCAGCGCGCTGACGGGCAAAGCGAGCCGTAGCAGCATCGTCAGGGGCAGGACCTAAAGCGGCAGGCTCGGGGGGCTCGGGGAGGTCACCAGTAGCGTGCGACCAGAGGGTCTCGCCCCCCTGGACTTGACTCTCTAACAGACGGCGAGCGCGAAGAAGCCAGACGGAAAAGTCAAGAGGTCTACCGTCAGCGTCGAAACGAAGAACTCGCGGAGTCGCCATAGCGAGAACTAACGCGAACGAGCAGGCGAGTAACAGCAGGAGGTAAGAGGCAAATTAGGGTTCAGGTGGGGGGGGGGGGGGGGGGGGGGGGGGGGGGGGGGGGGGGGGGGGGGGGGGGGACTTAGTCGCAGCGGAAGAACGGGCTAGGGCGACGGGCCAGGGCGTAGGGTCGACGGGACGGGGGAAAGGGCGGGCGCGATGCGACGGGGCAGGGCGACGCGACGGGGCAGGGCGACGCGACGGGGCAGGGCGACGGGACGGGGAAGGGCGACGCGACGGGGCAGGGCGACGCGACGGGGCAGGGCGACGGGACGGGGAAGGGCGACGCGACGGGGCAGGGCGACGCGACGGGGCAGGGCGACGGGACGGGGAAGGGCGACGCGACGGGGCAGGGCGACGCGACGGGGCAGGGCGACGGGACGGGGCAGGGCGACGGGACGGGGCAGGGCGACGCGACGGGGCAGGGCGACGGGACGGGGCAGGGCGACGGGACGGGGCAGGGCGACGCGACGGGGCAGGGCGACGGGACGGGGCAGGGCGACGTGACGGGGGGAAAGGGCGCGACGCGACGGGGGGAAAGGGACGCGACGAGGGGGAAAGGGCGCGACGCGACGGGGGGAAAGGGACGCGACGAGGGGGAAAGGGCGGGCAGGACGCGACGCTAGGAGTGGCGCTAGGCGCGGCACTACGCGCGGTAACAACGGAACCGGGACGAATGAGAGCTGGGAGCAGGCTCGGAAGGCTCGAACGGAGAACGGAGGAACGGGATCCCACAGGATCCTAACCTAACTGATACCATGTCAGAATGAAGAATGGATGATGCATTGATGTTGGTTGGGGTACATATAGCTAACCCTAAGTTTTGTACCCCCTAAGACAAACCTCACTATAGGCTACAACATTTGACATTCGCCTTGACTGGTAACCTATACTTTATCGATGAAACATAAACATGACTTGCCAAAATGATGTACCGTAACTGTGAATGCGTGACCGTTTATTCGGTAATGCATATGCCGTAAAAAATAATGTATAGATGAAGTATAATGATGATTGAGTGCAAAATGCATAAATATACATGCATATACGACTGTGGTGAATATACATGTGCTCTGTTTATTTCGGTATAGGTCCGGTGCAGTGAAATGAATGCATGGCATGATGGAAATGCGTGACAGTTAATTGACCCAGACCTTATGCTACCGCATCCCCTGCCTAGCATGGGGGGGAAGTCGATAGCATAGTTCCTGAATCATCCAACTGTTACATGAAACAACACAATCTGTGTAAACTAAAAAAATGATCAAAATCCATCAAATCCAGTTCAAGTGAACACACTCACTGAGTGGGCAAAGAACCTTCTCGGAAATGATAGCTTGACCATTTTTTTAAAATCCACAGATACGCATTGTTAATGCAATAGCAGGTGGATATGTATGAATATGCACACAGAGACACATACGCACACACGCACATACCGATATGCACACACAAAGACGAGTCACAATCAGAAAATGAACCTAAAAGAAATCTAACATAACAATGCAGTAGCATCAATCATTAACATTTCAAACAAAAATCAAACAAAATCCTTTTAATTTCCACATTAGCCTCCGAACGTTATAGCGAAGACCCTGGGAGGGAAACGGGGGGAAACGTAGTGGGAAGGGAAAGGAACGGGGCAGAAGGGGCAGAAAAAAGGACGGAGGCAGAGACACATTAGAGAACTACGATACGACGGAATTACAGGATTTGAAACGTAGGCAGGTGGGGAAGAGAAGTACAAAGGAGAATAACGAATAAAAATACCAGATGTGATAATAACCGCATAGAGGAAACGCAATAATCTGGGCAAGGAAAGAAGAAAACATAAATGAGCTCGTATATAGTAGCGTTTTGATAGATACATAAACGAGCGAAAGAGTTTGACAGAGAGAGAGAGAGAGAGAGAGAGAGAGAGAGAGAGAGAGAGAGAGAGAGAGAGAGAGAGAGAGAGAGAGAGAGAGATAGAGAGAGAGAGAGAGAGAGAGAGAGAGAGAGAGAGAGAGAGAGAGAGAGAGAGAGAGAGAGAGAGAGAGAGAAAGAGAGAGACTTCAATAAACTATGGCTTCTAAAAAACATTCGTAGACTTATGAAAGACATATTCAAAAACCGCACGAAGGTAGGAGTGGAACCAATACGGAAGGAAGATAACATGCAATACGAGGACTATACGCGAGATGCGAGGAGAAGAAACATTGCAAGAAATGAGACAGAAAGAGCCTGTAAGTATGACAGAAAAAAACACACACACACACATAACTACGAGAAGATGGGGCACAGATACTAGAAAAACCGAAAGAAGAGCGTCTAAGCTGATAAGAATAAAAAGGAAGGAGGAAAACGACATGATAGAGAAATGAGAGGATAGTTCTAGGAGTTAAGAGCGTGAGCAGCACAGTTGGACTTACGGGAGAAGACACATTATTTAAGAACGACCTAACGGTTCCGTCGAAATGGACGATATCCTTAAAAACGATTAAGTTTCTAGATAACTTAGAACTTACTGGTTCAAATTAGAGAAAAGAACATGAACGAAACTGCTCCTAATATTTTCTTGAAGTCTAAAAAGAACTAGCAGACGTTAGTACGTACGCTAGTCCTTAAATTCTTACCTAGTAAGTATATGACTGCTGCAGTCGTAGGAGGAGCGGGAGTTGAGGGAGACGCGGGAGGAAACTAGGGCATTGACGATCCAGAAAGAGACGAAATGTTGGGAAAGGAATTCAATTAGGCTTTAATTAAACTGACTTTACAAAGTTTCCCGGATGTTAAAGGTAATTCTGTTAGCGCAGTGGTTTGAGTAGCTTGTTTTAATCCAATGGTCTCGGGTTCGGTTCTTGCCGCGGCCTTCTGTATCAATGCAACATTTTCAACGGGTGCGTGTTTTTGAATTTTACCCCTCGAAGTCAGTTGTGGAAGCACAGTGGTATGGATTTCGAATCAGAAGCCGATGGTCTCCGGTTCAATTCTTGCTGCTACCTTTTCATGTCAACACAATATTGGATATGTGTCATGTCTAAGAAATCTAGGAAAGTACGTAGTAGAACAAAATATATTATTTACAAATAAGCTTCGCAACCCTATGTCGACTTGGTCGCCTCTTGTTTTTTTTTCGTTCGCCAAACCAGCCTGCCCTGGTATTTCGCCCTGGGGGTTGGGTCAGTCCCCAAAAGTCCCAAATTGCAGGTGCGCTTCTTTTCAAAACTTGCAAACATTACTTCGTCAAGTTTTAAAAGCTTGACCCGCGTGCTCCGCAATTTGGGACGCGGGTTTTAATGTAACATGATTGAGGTATACATTCCTTGCTTGCATAGACATATACATATATGTGTGTGTTTAACACTGAAGTTACATCACCCTACTCATCCACAGCAGTGTTGCCTCACTTGTGCTTAATGCACCTATCGAGGTCACCTGTAAGGAGAACTCGTCATTAGCCCCTTTCTGCCCTGATTGCGCATACTCTACAAACGCAGTGAGCTCTTTATCCGAGCGGTTAACAGATACCTCTGTAAACCCCGCACAACTGTACACCAGAGGCCTTGTTTCTGTCCATACACACGGTAATGAGGTGCGCTGTATCCGCTTCGTGTTGCCCCCACCACCGCTGCTGCCTCCACCATTACCACCATCATCACCACCACCACCACCACTGCTACTGCCACCACCATTGCCACTGCCACCACTGCTGCTACTACCACCACCACTCCCGGTCCCACTCCCACTCCCACTGCCATTCCCATTCCCGTTGCCATTCCCGTTGCCATTGCCATTTCCACTTCCACTGCCACTGCCACTGCCACTGCCATTGCCATTCCCATTGCCATTCCCACCGCCATTACCATTCCCATTGGTGTTGCTGCTCGTGATTGCACTGTTCAGCTTCTTGCTTCCTCCAGACGCGGAGAGCAGCAGGGCAGCAGACTGGGGGCTGTTATCCGGTGCCACGAGGATGACTGTATAGGAGATGCGGTAGAAGCTGGCTGTGCTGGAGTGAGGGAAGGGGGGAGAGATATAGAGGGGCAAGAGGAACTGAGATGAGATTCAGTACCATGTATAGAGCATGCCTGTTGTACAGCATGGTGATGTTAAAATCACTTCTGAATTTGAACCCAAAAAAAAAAAGGGGGAGAATGCATGTTAAATCCAGAACAGGAGGGAAGAGAGGACAGGCAGCAAGGGGAGCGGGAGAGTGAGGGGCAGGGGAAGATGAGGGGACCAACAGCTTATCGACTCTGATGTGAGCCCCTCCCGGCATGGGGTCTGTGAGGTTGGTGGCGAATTGGGGGGATGTCACTACTGGCAACGGTGCTGATGCATGGTCTGCAGCATGGGAGGACAGCGGAGGGAAACGGAGGGAAACAGAGAGCAGAGGAGAACTTTCACGGCCGAGAAGAGTGCACGAGAGGTCAGAAGAGGGCAGGGGAGCAGAGGAAGTTGGGGGAGGGTGAAGGAAGGAGAGCAGAAGAGAGCGGAAAAGAGGAGAGATGAGCGGAGATGAGTGGAGATGAGCGGAGATGAGTGGAGATGAGCGGAGATGAGCGGAGATGAGCGGAGATGAGCGGAGATGAGCGGAGATGAGCGGAGATGAGCGGAGATGAGCGGAGATGAGCGGAGATGAGCGGAGATGAGCGGAGATGAGCGGAGATGAGCGGAGATGAGTGGAGATGAGCGGAGATGAGCGGAGATGAGCGGAGATGAGCGGAGATGAGCGGAGATGAGCGGAGATGAGCGGAGATGAGCGGAGATGAGCGGAGATGAGTGGAGATGAGCGGAGATGAGCGGAGATGAGCGGAGATGAGCGGAGATGAGCGGAGATGAGCGGAGATGAGTGGAGATGAGTGGAGATGAGTGGAGCATGGTGCAGGAGAGTGGAGGGTAACGAGAGCAGAGGAGAACAGAGGAGAGTAGAGGGGAGCAGAGGGGAGAAAAGGGGAAGACAGAAGAGAAAAGACGAGCGAAGCAAGGCGTATAAACGCACACGGAAACAGAGTGAAGCTGGGTGAACTGGAGGCGGGCATACCAAAGGCAGTGATTGTGCTCTTGGCAAACTCCCCGACAGCCAATCCCTGCGCGCCACCTGGACTGCTCGGCATCTCGTCATACTCCATCGCGATCAACGGCCAGGATTGCGCCACACCCCCGCCAGACCCAGTTCCACCCTCCCCACTCGCCCCTCCCCCCACACAGCCTCCGTTGTCCCCCGCAGTGCGTAGGGACGCCAGTGCTGCTGCCAGTGATGCTGGGCTCGGCTCGAGAGCTGGGGAGGAGGGAGGTGGGGCGGAGGGAGGAGCGGAGGAGGGAGGTGGGGAGGAGGGAGGCAGGGGAGGGGAGGAGGACGGGGGAGCGGAAACGGGAGGAGGAGAGGAGGAAGGACCATTGCCGTTGCCATTGCCATTCCCAGCAGGGGGATCAGGAGGAGGGGAAGTAGGGGGGTCAGGAGGAGGGGAAGTAGGGGGGTCAGGAGGAGGGGAAGTAGGGGGGTCAGGAGGAGGGGAGACTGGGGGGGACAGGGGCGGAGAGACTGGGGGTTCGCGGGGAGGGGAGGAGGATGGAGGAGAGGGAGGAGGAGGGGAGGGAGAGGAGGGAGGACTCTTGTTCCCATTTCCGTTCCCGTTGCTGTTTCCGTTGCCATTGCCATTGCCGTTGCCATTGTTGCTGTTGCTGCTGTCGTTTCCAGTGGTGCTGGTGGGAGAAGGAGGCGGGGGGGAGGAGGAGGGGGGCGGGGAGGAAGAGGAGGGAGGCGGGGGGTCTTTGGCCTTGGTTGGCAGCACCCTTTGAGGCACCTCAAGCAGCGACCGCTCAGCTGCTGTGGCACTGCAAGTAGCAGCAGGAGTGGCAGTGGCAGCAGCAGCAGCAGCAGCAGGGGAGGTGGACGAGAGAGAGGCAGCGGCAGCAGTGGGGGCGATTAGGAAGAGCCCCACGGCTTCCCAGAGAGTGGGGGAGGCGGCAGTAGGTTTCCTCCATGTGATGGTGTCTGGGAGCAGGGGGAACGGACACGTGCCCTGCACACACGGGGAGGCTGCCGCTGCATCCCCCCCGCTGGTGGCGCTGCTGTTGGTGGGCGCGAGGAGGGAGAGCTGCGAGGGAGGTGTGTCCTTGGGCGTGGTGACTGTCAGCTTGTATGCCACACACGCACTGCTGCCACACGTGCTGCATGCACATGGGGGAGGCCCGGGAGAGAGAATGGGCAAAAGAGGGTAAGAAGGAGAGCGTGAGTGTGAGGTTGAGGGCGGCGTGTCCTTGGGCGTTGTGACTGTCAGCTTGTATGCCACGCACGCGCTGCTGCCACACGTGCTGCACATGGGGATGGGAGGATGAAGGGAAGGGGGGATGGGGGGGATAGGGGAAGAGGAGTACACCCTCCTCTTCCCATGTCGTGTGGAGGGGAGTGCGAAATGGGCTGACAGCTTGTACGCCCCACGTGACACGCGCCCTCCCCTACACACGAGCTGTACATGTGGATGGGGGAAAGGGAAAGGGGAAGGAGTGAGCGGAAAGAGGGTGAGGGCGAGAGTGGGTTGGTACTCTGGGAGCGTCGTCGCGGCGCCGCGCACATGTGCCTGTGTTGTGTGCACCAAGGGAACAGCACGGCACGGCACGGCACGGCACGGCACGGCACGGCATGACCAAGATCATGAGCGCCGCAATACTGAGTCCACACCACACCACACCACACCACACCACACCACACCACACCACACCACATCGTGACTCCATCCAGCCAACCAACACACACGAACGAACGACACCACCTTCGCACGGCTCTCTCGCACAACTTCCGCACTGAGTCCACCTTGCTGCTCCCGGTTTTGTATTCTGACGGGTCCACATTGCCACTTTCAACTGGGTCGCAACAAGCTCCCCCCACAGCGGGTGGCAGATGTGGCGGCAGTGGCAGATGCGGCGGAAATGGCGGAAATGGCTGCTGGAGGCGCGAGGTGCAACTCACCCGAGGGCCAGGCTGATGCTACCGCGGCCATTGCCCCCGCACACCAGGGCCACGCGGAACGCTGCGCGCAGTGACATGCGATCGGGCGGGAGGGGGGAAGAAGAGTAAGGGGGAGCATGGGAGAAGGAGGGGAGGAGAGGAATGGAAGGTGAGGGGAAAAAGGCGGAGAGACTACTTGGAGGGAAACAGGAAAGCAGGAGGCGGGAGATGCAACTGGAGGAAAAAAAGCGGGGCGGGGGGGGGGGGGCGGTCCCTGGGGGGGGGGGAACAGAAAGTGAAAGAAATTTAAAAAACGGGTACGAAACAATACAACGGATTTCGTCCGTCAGACTTTAACGGTTTGACGTGCGCCTTACCGTCGAAGTCGCCAGTCGCGAGTGGCAAGCGCAGGAGCAGCAGCGCCGCTGGTGGGACAGCGGGACGGGTGGGGAGGGGGGCGGGAGCGGAGGACGGAAATAGAAAGGGGATAAGCGGAACTGGGAGTTGCGAATGGGGAATGACGGAAAACAGTGCGAGTTAGGGTTTGTGATAGGCGCAGCGGAAGGCTCCGCTTGTTCTGCTCAGCGAGGCGGAGGGCCGCGGAAAGATGGCGCGCGAGACGAGCGCGTTCCGCCAGCCGCGAGCGCGCGCGATCCGAGAATCCAGATAACAGCCAGTTGGTACTGAACCAGGAAAGCGACGAGAGACGATAGAGCAGCGACCGCGCGACGACGACGCGACGACGAGGCGACGACAAAGCGACGCGCCACCGTAACGGATGAAGCGCTGCTGGCTCGTCTCAGGCCAACGCCGCGCATCGCAGCGTAGAGGGATTCTTCGCGGCGTGCCCCCCTCGGATTGCGGCTACTTAAGAACGGCGAATGCGGATCACACGGCATAGCTTTTTTTCCTTAGGCGAGGCGCCTAAGAACGGTCATGAACGGCAAATGAACGGTCATGAACGGCAAATGAACGGTCATCAACGGCAAATGAAGATCACACGACACAGCTTTCCACGAGATGGTTTTGCGACGGCTCGATACACCATTAGTAGACATCCACCCACCAGCGGTACAGTGTCCGTCCGTCCACCGGTGACGGCTCTGTCTGTCCTTTAGCTGGCAGATAACAGATACAGAAGTAACGGTCACTGCCGGTTCGAAAAAACGGCGCTAGCGTCTAGCTGGCGGTAACTTTTGAGTCGACTCAAAAGTCACCTCGTCCAGCTGGCGCTATGGACTCTATGCGACGGCAGCGCGACGTTAACAAGTAGTAGTTGTTGTTGTTGTTGTACCTAGAACGTAGCACCACGCGGGTCGAGCAGCCGCGTCGTCGCCACCATGACGAAGGTCGCGTCGCACGCGCCGCGTTACAGTCGCATGTCCCCGCGCTACAGTCGCATCTCGCCGCGTTACAGTGATGCCGCTGGGCCGACATTCCCAGGGTTCCCTCCGAGGCCTCGGAATCCCGCGATAAGATCTCCGATCCCCGCCGCACTTTCCGCCGCCGCGGATTTTAGCTGCGAGCCGCCGCATATCACGCTGTGCAGGAGGAACCGCGTGTGCCACGTGTGACCTCTCGCAGCGCTTAAAATGCCCGATCCGACGCCGAGGGGTTTTACGAGACTGCTACCTCAACTCGTGCGCAGCGGAATGGGGGATTAAGGAGGCGCGACGCGGGTTGCGGACCGTGACGGTTACCAAGTAGTAGAAGCAGTGCATGTTAAGAGGATTCTACTCCATCACGCCCTAAGGTGACTTTTCCTGGAGGTGACATCACGCCCTAAGGTGACTCAAAACTGGATTCTACTCCATCACGCCCTAGTAGTACTTTTCCTCCGTTCTACGACAGACAGGGGGCGCAGCGATCCGATGCGAACCGAGCAGGCCTAGACGACTCCTCATGCGGATTTTCAGTAGTACGAATGTCCGCGAACCCTAGATTGTGAGGAACGGGAACTACTAGGGGGGCGGGGTGGCAGGACGGAACTGTCAAGACTCCGCTATACTGTACATCGAAGTCGAGGGACTTGGAGAAGTGCGATCATCGTAGGTACTTGGTATGAAGGTTCAGTTACTGTACTAGGGAGTCGAGATGAGGAGGCTGGTTTGACTCAGAAGCGTGTGTCGGGGGTGAGGGATTTCACACAAAGAGAATAGTGAAGCGAGGTAAGGAAAATGATCAACAAGAATCGCAGGAAAAACCGTCGCGCGACAATAGAAACTGCACGGTCGTGTGTTGCACTGTACGGATTGAAAACTCTGTTTGAAACGGACACACTCCTCCTGGGTGCCTTGGTCGCTATGGAGCGAGAGGTGCCGCGCAGTGATGATGGCTCGTGGCGTGCCGATGGGGTCGGTCGGTGGGGTTTTTAGTTAATCCCGCACTGTTACTGAAAATATACGAAAAAAGCGCAGCATTGTCGCTTCTGGCGCACTGTTAGTGCCCAGTTTTCGATCACAGCGCATAGTTAGTGAGATTTCTACGCAGTAAAGATTTCATTGGTCAAAATGTTGACGGACCGACAACTCCGGTTGGATTGACGGCCATCGAACTGTTTGCACCTGAATTTTGGGCAGACGAAAATATATTACCCTCTCGGATGGCATGCTGTTCAGGGAGCATCAACCCTAAACACCGGGCGGGGTGTTTAGGGAGCATCAACCCTAAACACCGGGCGGAAGTGTTTAGGGAGCATCAACCCTAAACATTGGCCGAAAGTGTTCAGGGCTGATTCCCTTTGTCACGATTTATATATATATATAAATATATATTTTAACGGCTGCCGTCGAGGGAGCATCAACCCTAAACTCCACGCGACTGGATGTTTAGGATTGATGCACTCTCTATATGGGCGTGAAAATTTTGAAACACCTGACTGAGTTAAATAAATTTTCTGTTACATTGCAGGCTTGTCGTTTTCGGATATTTAGACGAATGAGCGTCGAGCTGCGTAGAAATCGCACAAACTCTGCGCTGTAAACGAAAAACGGGCAGTAACCCTGCCCCAGAAGCGATGAAACTGCGCATTTGGCGTGCAGTTTCGAAAACCGTGCGTTGTCAACTGAAAACCCCGGTCGGTGGGTGCGTGAGTGCGGGCAATGGCAATGCGCATCGCCAGGAAAGGTGGAAATGACGGGACGGATGTGTCCTGTCCACCAACCAAGGGGAGGAGGAAGAGAGTTCTCTCCTTCCATCCCATCCGATCCGGGTGACTCGCAACGCAAGAAACTGTTGGTGAAATGATGCATGTGCTTGTCTGCATCAATTCTCGAGGGAATTGATCAGACTGGGGCCCCGGGTTAGCAGAAACAGTGCCAACTTGGGGCCTCGTGAGTCGCGACCCTACGAAATAGGCCCGAAGCAAATCACAAGACTGGGCAGCAGGTCCGAACCTGGCAAACTCGCCAGGTCACCACCTACTGCCTTGGGTTTGACGGAAATCGCTAGCACCCCACACCGCTGGAAGCACAACAATCCGTCAAACCAACACGAAGTGTTTCTGCTTTCTAAAGTTCGCCAAACCCTGGTGTTTTCGCTAAGAGCAATTCGCACATCGAGAGTTTGACTTATGGGACCTCCCTCACAACCCCTAGACCGTCACGCTTTAGTGTCTGCATCTTGCTGGAGAGAGAGAGGCGTCACATTCTAGTCTAAGGTGAGCTCAGATTCCTATGCATCGATGTATTCGCGACGATTTCCTCCTTTTTTAGATTATTTAGTTAGTATTTGTCATACCGCCTCAATGCTCTTGCGAAATCGATCATTCTTCCGCCCATGATTAGTTCTTTTTGTGTCACGTGGCATTGATAGTACTGTAACTCCTTATCAGCTGTTTCTAGACCATTCTACAAACGACAACACAGTCCGAAGTTCCCCAACTCCTCGTTCTTTCCTTTTTTTTGTTTGGTTGATTGTTCAATCCTCTTATTTTCTCTTCTTCATGAATCATGTCAAGATGAACAACTCCTCGGTTGCTTTGGACTTCCCTGTGGGGAAGCGGTATGCTTCATCGGAAGATGCGAAACATGACATAAGGTCGCAATGCGGGGCGACAAGGTGCGCTTTCAAGTTCGTTGCAAACAAACCTCATAGGGTGGAGGCACGGTGTCCATCTTTTGCGTATAGGAAGAAAGGAAGGGCTGCTGTCAGTAATGAACCAGAAACGGAAGAGCCTTGCCCTTTCATGATCAGTGCTAGGTTGTGTATAGATGGCTCGCTTCGAGTTGTCACGGCAAACCTGCAACATGGTGCGTACTGCACGGTACATCCCAAAGGAGCTACACGAGCAGATCTAATTGGTTTCGCAAATACTATTCCCAATGTGGCCTTAGATCCTAAAACGTTGGTCAAGGAAGTCCAGCAACGTACGGGTCAGAGGTCGTCCTACACGACTTCACGAAGAGCAATACACGACATCAAAATCGCGGACCCTCAGCAGAATGATACTTCATTTCAGTATGTGAGGAGTATTCTTGAGGTTTTTGTGCGAGACAATCCTGGAAGTATTGTGTCGCTATCCAAGCGCGATAGTCGTTTCTACAGTGCATGCGCTATCCCGAGTGTAGCCCGTTCAACAATGTTGAGCGCCATGCCGATACTAATCATCGACGGGTGCCACAACAAAACGGTGTGGGGGGGTCAGACGATCAACCTTGTTGTTTTGGATGGTGACGGTCACTATGTTTCAGTTGGAATTGCGTTCGTCGAGTCCGAGAGCAATGAAAGTTGCGCCCTTCCAATTCGGCAGCTTTTGAAGGTGTTTCCCGAGCTCAATTCCCCGGAGTGGGTCATAAAGCATGACCGTGGTTCTGGATGGAGTTCGTGTGCAGAGTTGCTTCAGCATGCACACGAGTCTTACTGCATTACCCACATTGGGCGAAACTTCACCAAGAAATTTGGGAAGGACCTGAGTTCGTCCATTAAGGAGGCCGCTGAAACACTGAACATCGAGCTGTTTGAGTTTCGAATGGATAAAATAGAGAATGCGTGTCCCGGTGGTAGGGCTTATCTTGCGGGGGAAAGAGGTGAGTTGCTCTCAAAGTGGGCAACCGTCCATTTCCCTAGGTCTAGGTTCGGGGTCCTCACATCAAACCCCGTGGAGTCACAACATGCATCTATGCATCATTTGCGCGATAGAACCATTGCACAAGTGCTTCTTGGATGGATCGAGACTCTACCAAAGATTAGGCGTCGTCGGTTCCTAGAATACTCTCAAATGCCTGGCACGTGGACCAAGAATGCAACGGTGGTAATCTCAGCCAACAAGGATGACGCGTTAAGCTACGATGTGGAAAGCACCGGGACAACGACCTTTGCGGTTACCCACACCGGACGTCGGGAATCCCGTGTGGTGGATCTCGGGGAGCGAGAATGCAGCTGCAACTACACGAAGTACGTACATGTGTTATCATGTGTATATGGTCGAGATCTTGCCAACCTCCATTATTGTATTACGTGCATGCACCAAATTTGAAAGCTTGGGAATGTTTGTGCAAACTGGCAGAAATCTGAACATGTTTGAAGTATCCTTCCTTGTCCCTCAGCCCCCATCAAGCTCAACTTCCCCCTCCTCCTTCCCCCTCCTCCTTCCCCCTTCCACCTTCGCCTTTGTCCTAACCCTTCCTTCTCCCCCTTCGGCCTTCCCCGTCACCCCTCTACCATCTCCTTGCTACTGCAGGGAGTACGGGCTGCCATGTGTTCACATTTTTGCCGCAGCAGGGGAGAACAACCGCTTGCCTTTTGACATGGTTCATCGCGTGTTTCATCTCGATACCATGAAGGCCATGTATGGCGAGGACATGAAGCACATTGACCCAACATCCATCGTGCGAGATGGGGTTACTCTTCCACCTAAGTACAAGCGACGACCTGGAAGAAGAAAGAACAAACGGATGCG